AAAGCTTATAAAGCCGAGAACAAACAACTCATCTCAGTAGTAGCTTAGTTCTAGCGAACTGTTTGTTTACTTAATGCTGTGATTGATTTGTAGCGATTCGCCTGTGAGATAGAATTAGTTCTCTGTTCTGATTGATTTTTGCTAAACGTTTTACATTTTGTGATTTGTTAGAATATTTTAAAGAAATATTTCAGCATTTTGATTATTCTTGTGGTAAGAATAAATTTTTGTTAACTTTTAACGTTAACCGGTTTATTCCAGCCCTTTGTATTCAGTATGTCTATATCAAAACCAAGTGGTAGTAAAATTAAACGAAAAATCGCTGACGAACATAGAATATTCCAATAAAATGGGAATTAGAATATTTTTTGCTGTGAAAATAAAGATTAAATAATCTGCTTGATATGTAATAATACTATTAAGTACCCAAGTTATATAACATTAAACGTCATTACGAACAACACAAATCGAAATATAACAATTACGAAGGATTAATGAGAGAAGAAAAGTTGAAAGAGCTCAAGTTAGGAGTGAAAAAAGCACAGTCCATATTTAGTAAAGTAATTGCAAGAAAGTGAAGCGGCGGTACATGCAAGCTACATCTTGTCCGAGTTGATAGCTAAACATTCGAAGCCTTTTACTGACGGTGATTTCATCAAGGAATGCCTAATGAAAGCTGTAGAAATTGTTTGTCCTGGAATGTGAAGGCTTTTCAATCAATTTCATTGTCTCGAAATTCAGTTGCGAAAAGAGTTACTGATTTAGCCGCGAATTTAAGTGATCAGATCAAAGCAAAATCATCTAGTTTCGAAAGTTTCTCCATTGCCTGTGACGAGAGCACTTAGTGGCAAAGCCCAATTAGCAGTGTTTCTTCGTTCTTGTGACAAGAATTTTAACATTTTTGAGGAATAACTGGAACTAATACCGATGCCTGGTACTACCACAGGAGAAGATATATTTACTTGTGTTTTAGTACTTCTGCAGAAATGCAATCTACCTTTGGCAAAATTACATTCTGTAGCTACAGATGGCGCTCCATCAATGACCGGGAAAAACAAGGGCTTCGTAGCATTACTAAGAAAAAAACTTAGTGAAATTCACGGTTCAAACATTCACCATATGCATTGTATTATACATCAAGAAGTTCTATGCACGAAAGTAATAAATATGGAGAATGTTTTGTCATATATAAAAAAAAGTTATAAATTTATAAGATCTCGAGGTTTAAATCTGCGTCAATTCACTGCTTTCTTAAGTGAGTTAGATAGTGACTATTCGGGTTTGTCCTACTATACCGAGGTACGTTGGTTATCTGCTCCAAGATTATCAAACAATTCTGGGATTTAAAGAAGAAATATGTCAGTTTTTAAAAACGAAAAATCAGACGTAAGTTTGTTTTACGATCCAATATGGATACAAGATTTATGTTTCTTGGTTGATATAACCAAACACTTAACCGATTTAAATTTATCGTTACAAGGAAAAGATCATATCATTACGAACATGTTGTGATATAATTAAAGCATTCAAATGTCAATTAGTTCTTTGGGAAAACAACTTAAAATGAAGATTTGACGCACTTCCCGACGTGCAGCATGAACAAATCAAGTTTGATGATACTTGTTCGTATCAAAAATACGCAGAAAAAATTGCAAAATTTTAAATATTTACCAGCCAGGTTTGAAAATACTCGAAATCGCATATGAATTATTTCCATGTTTGGTAGCACTTATCGGTGGAGCATTATTTTCAGTCATGAAAGGTAATAGTCTCCTATTAGAAACCGTATTAATGATGCTCACCTTGGGTCAGCGTTGAAAGTTATCGCTGCAAAAAAATTCTCCCGAAATAGGAAAAGATAATAGCAGAGAAGATATGTCAAGTATCAGACGTAAACATTAAATTTTTTTGTTCTTTTCTATATAAATATAAATAAATATATATATATATATATATATATATATATGTTTATATTGTATTATTCGAAATAAATCTACGTTCTGTGAATATTGATTTTTTTTTTTTTTTTTTTTTTTTTTTTTTTGGCCCGCCTAAGTAAACCTTGTTTGTTTGGCCCAAGTGTACCTATGAGTTTGACATCCCTGCCTTACTTGGAGACATTTTTCTGTAACTTAGTAATTTTTATGATGCTTATCAGACTTCTCTGGAAATTTTACTTCAGCTTAAAAACATTTATTATAATATAATATTTTCATCATCTGATCTCCGTGTCTGTAACTATCTGGATGAGCAGCTAAAAAGCGGGCCACGGTTACATTTAGCCCCAGGGTAATAATAGAGGAATTAGTACTGAATGTGATTTTATTCATAATTTTACCTACCTTGATTTGTATTTCTTTTTTACTGGATTATTATTGTATGTAATCCTTTTTAATTGCTTAATTTTGCCCACTACGACCGCTTGCACTGTGCACTTAGTATTTTTTGTTCCCAGCTCGATCAGCTTTCTGAACAATTTCCTCCAACTAATCAATTAACATATATAATATATTAAAAAAATATTAATGCAAATTTGTTATCTTATTTCTTGACGTATTATTAAGTATACTATTTCGAAATTTTTAATCGTTCTACTCGGCGTAAGGCAATGAGCCCAGGCACCCGGGTGTCTTAAAAACCGTTCCACGTCACAGATATTTTGATTATATTAACTGAATTGTTGATCACAATAAGCGAGGTATTTTCCAATTTTTCGTATACAAAAAAAGAGGCGGGACTTTGTTAATTCGATAACAATATCCGAATGACAGCAGTCACATTAAGTGGTGTCTACTGTATTAGATTTATCAGTTAATACAAAATTAATTCAATTAGTACAAATATAAGTTTTATATTTAATGAATATTGTTTTCTTTTATTTCAGTTTTGTTTTCCAAGTTTTTGCTTCAATTATTCTTCAGACAGTGCCATGCTCTTAAACAGTTTGCCATAATTGGTTGATATTAATTCTATAAATATATCTTTTCTTATATATGTGTAAAAAACGTATAGAAATTTCAATATTCCTGTTCCCTTAAATTTAAATTTAAACAAATTTAAGTTTTAACAAACATGTATATACGTATAAAAGCAAATTTAAAGTTAAAATAATTAAAAAATGTGCAAACATATAAAAGATTTAATTTTCGAACTAATCTACAATATCATTTAAATTGAGGCCCACCAGCGGCCGAGCGGTAAAGTCGCTGAACATTGGTAGTTCGGTTCGAGGTTCGAATCCCGCGAACGGGCTGGCTGCATGGGCGTTTTCATGGTTTTCCCCATGTGTAACGTGTATACGAGCCAGTTTTCCCTAGAAAGTCCCCCACGAAGGCATCCCTCCCCTTAGGCAGATAGCCCTAGTGTGCTTTGCCGTAATTAAATACACACCAATAAATACACACATTTAAATTCAGATAGCATAAGCAAATGAAGTGCAAAACCAAACTTTTGGAATTTTAATTTTAAATTGCTAATTTCTAAAGGTACCACTTTATTGGTATTTCTTTTTGGACATTCTTCACTCTTTACTTTTGATTTTGACTTTTATCATTGCCTGCATGAATGACGAAACACGAATTGAATGATTGGAGAGTTAGGTTTGGAGGCAACTTCCCCTTGATAAGTTTGTCTCCTGCCTACTCAACAGTCATTCACTTATGCATTTTTTTTTTTTTTTATTTTAGATTAATTTTAATTTGCTAAATTGGTGAATGTATTTTAATGGTTTAGTTTTGCACTTGATTTGCTTATGCTATCTGAATTTAAATGATATTGTAGATAGTCGAAAATTAAATCTTTTATAGTTTGCACATTTTTTAATTATTTTAACTTTAAATTTGCTTTTACGTAGATACATGTTTGTTTGTTACAATTTAAATTTGTTTAAATTTAAATTTCATTCCTTGCAGCAATGGCGCAAAGAATTAATTAAATTTGTATTTAAATTAAATTTATTTAAATTCAATTTATTCTTATGAAACAATTCCTGTTCTCTTAGTTATAATATAAGAATATTTCGTTTAGCTCAAACAAAGACCTTCTGATGGAAGAACAATTAGTATACGTAATAAATAACAAGGAATATGATTATGTTGAATACCACGCCCACAATTCTAATAAGAAACAAAGTAGTGTAATATTTTCTGCTAGGATGATTCTGAGATTGCAAGTTATATGACTCAATACATACATATAATATTTAGCTACGATGTTTAAACTTATTCTGATAAGAATCTCAAATAGATGACTGAAACTCATTCAGAACTAAATTACATTGTAGGAAACAGAATGTGAATAAATTGGAACTGACATAGCAACTTTAAATTTGTTTCTTTTGTCTATGTTTGTAACTGACTTTGCCCAGTTTCGGTTACTGCAGGCACTACAATTTATTTTCTCTTAAATTCCTCACTAAAATGTGAAGGACATGTGGAGGAAAAAAAAAGAGAATTGAATGATAATAATTTTACGTCATTTGTTTAACAATACCTTTAAGAACGAGGTTTATGAACAGCATATAGAAATTATCTGTAGACTTTGATACTAAATATACCTAAAATTCATTGACTTTTAAAATGGATTAATAATTATATTTGCATATTAAAGGCAGATATTTAATTTTCCATTTCGCTGTCATCACGAGAATACATTTACTTTTTCTTTATACCACTATCATTAAAAATAAAAAGTCATCGATAATTAATATTACTTTTCCTTTCGCGCTCAGAACTAAAAAACAAATAAAGGAGAAGACAAAAGAAGGTCATCAACTCGCGAATGGTATTACGCATACTTATCCAATGTTGCCTAACTCTTCACAAACACTATTGATTTCGCGAAACTGAAGTTCATATGGCAGGGGGGGGGAACAGTCCGTTTCACAATATAGCCGTAAACAAGAGCTTATCAAAAGCGATGACTTCGTTCTTACATTCTATTGAGAACAGTCTAGAAACATCAGGTAAAATTCCTTGCGTGATTTTATCTATACCTCCTTCAACTTTGACGCTTGCACTAATAAATAAATGCTCTGTACACGTGATAGTTTTTTTAGCATAAATACTCTGGATTTTTTTGGATCATCATAATCAGATTTGAGCTGGTCAGGGAGATAGAAGACATTGCTACACAGATAGAAATCACTAGTTACATATAGTAAGTGATTGCATTTCAGTTTTATATTGAATTACCTATTTTCATTTTTCATATAGTTTGAAACATTTTATCCGAAGTAATTATATAATTGTATATTTGAAGAACGCTTTATTACACTTAATTATATACATATACATGTATATAATAATTTATTTACTAAAGAAATATTGATTATATTATGTCCTATAAGATTAATTTAGCAGAATTATCTAAAAGAGTGAATCCATAGTTAGTAAGATTAATTCCGAAAATTCTTTTAAAGTAACTTGAATGTAAATGTTAAAAATGTTTTAACGGGGACTTGAATTAAATCATTAATAAACAAATGTCATTGGTAAAAAGAAAATTACATTAAAAGCAAGTAATTAAATTAAAAGCAAGTAATCATTGCCATTGATCGGAAATTAGTTGACTTTTCAAGGGGAACAAACCAACTCCCGTTCAATGAACAATAATTAAGAAATAAATACAAAGGTGTTTCGTCCTTTACTCAAGTAATAAGGCGAATACACCAGTTTATTGCTTCTTTTATAGTAGTGCATCAGAAATATTTGTATTAATCTTATGTTATTTTGCTTCAACATTTTAAACTCCTTAAAATGAATATGGCATCATGGCATCTCAAATGTTTACAGAAATTATAAGTATTAGAATAAGTCCAATTCTAAAGTAGTGAAAAAAAAGCGGGAAGATTGTATTGTCTAGCTATAAAATACAAATTAGATTATTTGACAAATTTTTAGCAATGTTGTCTCATACAGTACGCTGCATCCAATGTTTCTAAAAGCGGTATTAGTTGTTTCAGGTTGGATACGGAAGAGAGAATACGAAACAAATATTTCTCACGGATAATATCTTTGCTTCGATAAGCAAAGCAATATCACCGACTCTTAGAACTCTGATATTATTTTCGTTATCATCATTTTATTTGCGTAATTTGCATGTTTATTTTATTTCTTTGTACTTTTATGTGCTACATAAAGAAAAATAAATAAAATAATTTCGCTAAAGAAGAGTATTGTCTTTAAGAAGGTATGCCAAATTGTATTGTTTAATTTCGCAAAACAATGCCTTGCTTTAATAGTCATAGCCGGACTATTTAGGAAACATGAAAATCAGTTTCAAGGTTTGTTTATGAAATCTGTTTGAGACCAGTTTGTTTGTTTATATATATATATATATATATATATATATAATTCAAAATTTATTGGATGATTAAAAATATCTGGCGAAGAGATGAGGCCAAGTGCAGGGGACCGAAATAAGCAGATTTTGTAATGGAACTTATGGATGAAAATGGCGCATTAAGGTTATAGGATGTTGTCGAGTGATAAGTGGACGTTCTGTTGGCATAAATTATTATTCCTCGTGCGGATTTCGTATATGCAGGACTGCGTTAACGTTGAATTCTCCGATACGCATTTTATCTATGGAGTTGCGGATGGAAGTGGAACAGTTGTTCAAATGGAAGTAATCAGGTATCGTTTTGTGCAAAACTTTTGAATAGTTGCTCCATTTTATGTGCTGCTCGATAGATAAAATGCATCATGGTCAGCCCCATGCTCGTGTGGCGATCCATACTGCTCGAAATTCGCACTGAAAATGACGATTTACGCCAGCAGATCGGTTTGACCTATCGCTCAACAGCGCTTTAGCATCTCAATACGCCATTTCAGCTCACACATTATATTATAAAATCTGCTAATTTCTGTCTATTCTACATGCATTTATATTTTTACCAGATATTTTTTAATCACCCCTTAGATACTTTCCTTTTATGAAGGATAACTATTTCTGTAGGTATATGATGATCAGTTTGCCAGGTGAATGACAATTGCTACTCAAACACTCTGCTGTTGTTTCAGCTAAATATCCTATTAAAGCAAAGCTAAAATAATCACAAGAGAAAAATGGCTTTACTTGAGATTTATTCATTCATCTCTTCTTTCGTTGACTCAAATGAGTAATAAGTTCCTCATTCATTCCTATCAGCTCCTACGGTTTAAGCGCCCTTCACCAGCTTGTTTGCAACTATGGTATCCAACTTTATCTCGCTTTCTTTCAACCTTTCTACTCCAAATCGGTTTTGGTTTGCTTTTGCTCATGTGCCTATCACAAGTTCATACCAGCATCGTTCGCAGATTTTTTATTGGCTTTATTTATTATGTTCTGTTTGACTTTCATGATAATAATATCCTGTCCGAGTCTATTTTCCTTATTTATTTCCTTCGATTAAAGTTTTTTTTTTTTTTTTTTTTTTTCATGTAGTTTGGCATTAGAAACAAAATGGGGCCAAAAAAGTAAATTTCCCTAGAATGATGAAGAAACTCAATTTATTGTTTAAATAATTTAAATAAACTCTCCTAAATTTTCGTCAACTTGAACATTTTGGATCCGTAAAACTATTCAGATTTTACAGTTGAACTGAAATTTAGTAATTTTATTTTAACATAATAGTTGGATATTCTACATGTTACATAATATTTTGAAGATTTTTTGCGCTTTTCTTTTATGCGCTAGCCTCATCAGTTTTTCTTATATTAATCACCATGTTCCGAAATATTTAAAAGAAGTGTAACTCTCCAATTCTTTTTTGTTTATTTTTGAATTTTGAATTTTTTTATTTAATTTTAAGAGATTACTTTTAATTTCATTCACACTCATTGGCAGCAAAAAATCAGTTCTGGTTTTCATTGCGTATCATCAAATTTAGCAATTTAGCAGATACTAGCATAATATCATCCCCGCAATTTAGATTACAGTACCAAAAGAGAAGCAAACGAGTGCAATGCAGCATGAGGAAAAAACAAAGGACACGTCTAGGGGATAAGAAAAAAAAAAAAAAAGAGACGAATATAGGTCACTAGATTATACCATTTATGACAAAGATGGCTATGGTTAAATTCAGTGAAGTAATGACAACAGAATTATTACTAGTTATTACGTCTCATTTTGTCCACACTACTCATTTTGTTTTACCGATGGTCTTTACCAGATGCAGAGTGAAAGGAAACACTGCTTTCTGAAACTCTAATTCACTAAATGTTGTTAGTAGTATCATCCTTTTGCCCTTTGTCCAATCGTCTTGTGCTGTCGCACTCCTGCTAGTTAAATATATATGAACGCTTTTGAAACTCTGAGATAGAAACTTCTAGTTTTCACCTAAGACACTCAGATTTGAAATATTTATCTTTACCTAATTTCTACTTTATTTGGCACCGAAAGAAAGATAAAAAGTTGCAATTTGCGTATGTTTTCAACCAATCCACTATCATCATCACGTAAAACTCGGCAACCCATTAATTGAAAGCATTTTGTTAATTGAATGAGCGCACTTTATTGGTTGGTTGATTTTCGTATGTGGGGAAAATGGAAAGGTTGCTTCAAAGTTTCAACATTATAGAACTGTCTTCTTGTTGCTCTATTCATGATATCTTACAAACAATTTTTCCTTTAAAGCTTTGGATGAAGGCATCCTTTCGTCAGCAAATAACCCCACGTAGCTCACATAGGAAATTACTTCCTTTTGGAAAGAGACACATGCTAAAGAAACAAGAAGCGAAACTGAAAATGGCTAGTTGTTGATTAGTCGGAGAAAATGAATGATTTTCGTAGTCCAATTATGATCGGAAAATCCAGAGGAAGAAAAGTTTTTCTTTATCTCTTTAGGAATACGTTATCTGCAACTGTTCTGCGTTTCAATGAATGGAATATTTATGTCTTTGATAATAATGTAGCATTCTATATGATAAGGTCTAGACTGACACATGATGCAAAATGCTTTTACAGAACTTTTGTTTCCTTTGAATGTTTAATGCATTTTAATAATTAATGATATGTTCGCTTCTTCGATAAAAATGTAATACCATATTTTATATGATAAGATCTAATGTAAAAATGTAGTACCATATTTTATATGATATACTGCTTTTGTAGAACATGCTTCATTTGAATGCTTAATGCAATTTAATAATGAATGGTATGCTTATGTCTGTGATAAAGGTAGTATTTTACATCAAAATTTCTAGAATGATGTGTGCATTTCACTTTTGCATAACATAGTATTTCACCTGAATGTTTAACGCGATTTAATATTTCGTTTGTTAAATTTCTTTCTTTACCTGTAGATAAAATAATTAATTGTTTAATAGTTTTCTTTCTTCCTTCTTTTTCTTTTTTTCCATACACAAATGTATCGAATAGACAAGCAAAATAACAGTTAACTATAAATATTATTGTATTTCTTCCTTTTATAAATTAATTTAACATCGAGAATTTTCTTGTTAATATTTCAAGAAAATCACGTAATACGTATTAAAAACCTTTTATGGAACCTGAAATATTAACCTAATAGTAAGGATACGTAATTTTCGTATTCATGAACAGATGCAAACAAAAGCGAAATTTTATAGCATTAGCGACTAAATGCGAAGTATTGGTTATGAAACTTTTTAATTGAAAATTAGTTATAAATAGGTATTTAAAGGTAATTCGTTTCATTCGCGTGATGCTTCCCGTCCAGTACATAGCTGGAGTCTCTTGCCTTCCCATTACACATACTTACTCACTTGTCTGCGCCAGTCGCCTCATTCAGACGGTTCACAAATTACAGAATAAATGTGTGACTTTTTAAATATATGGTTATTTTGCTTTTTAAATATATGGTTGAATTTAATAATGATAAAGTTTTATCAGAATAGGCCGCCGTAAAAGGAAATAATTGACAGTATAAAGTTTGCATAAGAAACAAATATAATTTAAATGACACATATACTGAAGAGCCAAAGCATTATAACCACCAACTCAATAACTTGTTGCACCACCTTTGGTTTGCAAAACAGCTGCAATTTGCCTTCGCATGGATGCAACAAGCTTTTGGTAGATGACTGAAGAAAAATTGTGACAAATGTCTAAGCAGCGGTCACGCAAAGTCGAGATATTCCGACATGGTGGTTTTTGAGCTCTGGGCTGCTGCTCCATGACATCCCAAATGTGGTCTA